AGCTCTACAGCACACATCTTCTCAACAGTCAAAGCGGGGTTAAGTTATTACCCGTCATGCACAGTAACCCTTAAGGCACCAGGGTGGCGGTGCCACCGGCTTGTTTATATATATATATATATATATATATATATATATATATATAAATATAGCTGCGAGCAGCGATGAAGGGCCAAAGCCGGCGGCACCGCCACTCCGGTGCCTTTAGGTTACTAAAGGCACCGGGGTTGCGGTGCCACCGGCTTGGGCCCGTAATCGCTGCTCGCAGCTATATTTTTTTTTTTTTTTTTTCTCCTCTTTTATTTTTCTTACGACTATTCGGGCACTTTTGGGGCTCTTAACGTGCACGAAAACTCTTGAAACTTTGCACACGGGTCAGAACCCGCGGCCATCAGGGTCGGGGTGAAGATGGTACCCGGGCGTGGCAGGGGGGCTCGACAGCGCCCCCTGGAACGGGGTCCGAAAACTTGGTCCATAAATCAAACACGCTTGTATGTAAGAATATGAAACTCGGTACACATATAGATCTCATCGGTTCATATATACTTCATGCTCTTACTTTTTACCCCAGCCCAACAGGAAGTCGGCTATTTAGGGTTGTTTGTAAAACGCATGCAATGGAATTTAAAGTACTTCTCCTAGAGAATTCAAAGAAATGCCACGAAACTCGGTCAGCATGAAGTCAAGACATTGAGGATGAAAAATTGCGAGGGGATTTTTGATATCTCGAACGGTTTGGCTGTGGCGAGGAAACGAAATTATGGCGAGAAACGTGAAACAGGAAGTGTGTTATAACTTCTGCATACATTAACTGATCTTGATGAAACTTCAGCAGTGTGTTCGCTGTAAGAGGCCGATCACATGGATGTGACTATTGTGAGTCAAAGTTATAGCGCCACCAACTGGCAGCAGGAAGTGTGTCACTTTCAAAATGCTTCGAAATCACCCTCTTATTTTAACCCAATTTGCTTCAAACTTCATCTGTATAATGTAAACATACGCCAGATGTAGACCTGTGAATGGATTCTTGATATCTTTGATACTGTTGCCGTGGCAACACATCAAACTTTAAAATTCTTTTTTGATGCTTTTGAGACTCTTAGCATGCTTGAAATTGCATGAAACTCGACAGACATGTCACATATATTAGCCAGTAGACATGTGCAAAGTTTCAGGAACGGGCGTGGTGCAGGGACTCAGTAGCGTCACCTTTTGACAAAAGTGAGAGGGTTAGTTTCATAGTTTTACCTGCAATCTTAAAACTCGGTAGGCATATTGTTCAGATCAAGCCGGACAACTTTCTAATTTACAGATTTTGGTTCCGAACAACAGGAAGTCAGATATTTTGGTTTGAATGGGATGTTTTGGAGTAATCTCTGTCCCTCTCTCCCTCTCTCTGCATACCTCTGTGTCTGTGGGGGGAGGGGGATGTGTCTGTTTGAGTGACAAAGCTTTTAATTATTGTTGATCAAGGTTTTGGGGGCTTTTGGGGCCCTTAACATTCTCTAAAACTCTTGAAACTTTGCACACGGGTCAGAACCCGTGGCCATCAGGGCCGGACTGAAGCTGGTACCCGGGCGTGGCAGGGCGGACCGACAGCGCCCCCTGGACTGGGATTCGAACACTTGTCCATAAATCAAAGACACTTGCATGTAATAATATGAAACTCGGTACACTTATAGATCTCATTGGGTTGAACAACTTTCGTGCTCTAAGTTTTACGACATCCCAACAGGAAGCCGGCTATCATGGTTTGTTTGGAAACGCATACCCCTGAAATTCTATTTAATTCTCCTTGGGAATTGATCGGATTTCAAGCAAACTCGGTCAGCATGACGTCAAGACATTGATGATGCTAAATTCCGGAGGGATTTTTGATATCTCGAACGGTTTGGCCGTGGCGAGGAAATTAATTTTATGACTAAAAAAGGACACATAAAGTGTGTTATAACTTTGCTCGTTTTACCTACAGTTACAAAACTTGCCACGCATATTGTTCTCATCAAGCCAATCGACTTTCTAATTTAAAGTCATTAGCTCAGAGCAACAGAAAGTCAGATATTGTAGTTTGAATGGATTTCTTGTCCCCCTGCCATTCTGTTTGTGTGTGTGTGTGTGTGTGTGTGTGTGTGTGTGTGTGTGTGTGTCTGTGTGGGGAGGGGGAGGGGGAGGGGGAGTGGGGAGGGGGAGGGGGGAGGGGGGAGGGGGAGGGGGGAGGGGGGGGGGCTCTTTGAGTGATAGTTTAGTTTAAACACCAACTCATACATAGGGCCATACTGCCCTCTTGTGTTCAAAATTATATACATATTTGGTATGTGACTGAGGATTGAGAGCTTTTAAATACGGACGTCCACATTGATAATGGTGGCGCTTGCAGAGCGCTCGAATGAATAAATTAACTAAACGTTCGCTCAGCTCTGCTCGCTCGTCGCCATGGACGCGCACCGTTATGAATGCCCAGTGTTTCCCCTAGGATTTTTTTTCAGGGGGGGGGTGGGGGATTGGGGGAACTGCTAGTGTTGCGGAGCAGGTGTATTACGAATACGTGGTGTAAATTTTTTAGCAATCAAAAAGCATGTCTAATTAATTGAAATAGTGTATTATGAATCATTAAACGTATACAACATTTAAAAAAAAAATATGAAAAAAAATGTCACACTAATTCTGTGTTGTGTTTTTTCTGGTAATAAAATGAAGACATAAAACACAAATTTTATCATTTATCATCAATTTTAATCATATGAAATTAAATAAACTTTTTGTCAAATAACGTGCTGCACAATGAGCTTTACTGTTAAAATTAAAACATGGATTATTCCTTAAATTCAGTTTTGATGATAATTTATTTGGATTAGTGTTAGTATTATTACATTGGGACATATCTAAATTCTACTGTACAACGGTAATATATTTCTGTCAAGTTAAACCGAACTTTTATTTTGACGGGTTGCCGTGAAGACCTTTTGAGTTTGTTTATTTATGTAATAATGATAGTTTTTCTCAAATGAAGCGGTTAAATGATCACGAAGTGACTTTCGGAGTGAATCTAGAGCCTAAATACTAGTATCTATTAATAGGTACTAGTATCTAAAAGGTAATTTTCTCTCTCTCTCTCTCTCTCTCTCTCTCTCTCTGAGCCAATATGGCAAGCCGTTTTAACATTTAATCATTTTAACCTACTAGTCTCTATTTTCATGCTACTAGTACTTATTTTTTAGATACTAGTATCTATTCCATTAAGTACTAGTACTTATTCATTTGCGACTAGTGCTTATTCTTTAGTACTAGTGCCTATTCTTTAGATACTAGTGCTTATTCTTTAGATATTCTTTTGAATACGTATTAGTAGCTAATGAATAAGTACTGGTATCTATTTAATAGGTACTAGTATTTAATGACTTAGTACTAGTATTTATTTAATAAATATTAGTATCTATTAATAGGTACTAGTATCTAAAAGGTCATTTTCTCTCTCTCTCTCTGAGCCAATATGGCAAGCCGTTTTAACATTTAATAATTTTAACCTACTAGTCTCTATTTTCATGCTACTAGTACTTATTTTTTAGATACTAGTATCTATGCCATTAAGTACTAGTACTTATTCATTAGCGACTAGTGCTTATTCTGTTTAGAATATTCAAAGTGCTTATTCAATTTTTATGCTTATTTATTTTCAGAGCAGAAACTCCGATTTTTCTGCTTATTCAATATTGCATCTAAAATGTAAGTGACTTGACGTGTGTGTGTGTGAGAGAGAGAGAGAGAGAGAGAGAGAGAGAGAGAGAGAGAGAGAGAGAGAGAGAGAGAGAGAGAGAGAGAGAGAGAGAGAGAGAGAGAGAGAGAGAGAGAGAGAGAGAGAGAGAGAGAGAGAGATTGTGTCTATTACAGTGACAAGAGTTTAACCCTTTAAGGCCTTGTCTTTTTGGATATATATCTTTTTTTTATTAAAAAAAAAATTTGCATACAACCCATATATTTTAAATGTATTGTTTGCTTTAAATTAAATTAAGATTGTATGTTTGGTAATTGAACCTAAATAAATTTAAAATTAATGTGCTATATTTCAGATCAATATATTTGTTTTCCTTCATTTTAATCAACACTAACTTTATTCTCATCTGAATTATAAATAACTTATTTCTGTATAAAATAAAAAATCCAGAATAATCCAGACCAACCAGAGCGCACTATTTCTACAACATCATCAGTGCTGAAGCGGAACTACCAGAGCCGTTCGGCAGATAGCGAGCAGATATTTTGTGTCATGTCGTGCACAATAACCCTAAAGGCACCAGGGTGGCGGTGCCACCGGCTTTTTATATATATATATATATATATATATATAAATATAGCTGCGAGCAGCGATGAAGGGCCAAAGCCGGCGGCACCGCCACCCCGGTGCCTTTAGGTAACTAAAGGCACCGGGGTTGCGGTGCCACCGGCTTGGGCCCGTAATCGCTGCTCGCAGCTATATTTTCCATTCGTTTTCCCAGTTGGGATTTTAAAATAGTCTTTGTAAAAGACTCATTAAGCCATGAACTAAGCCAATCAGCTATAAGGTGAATCATAACATTACAAACTTTGATTTGAAGCAAAAAAGTTTTTTAAAATCGGACAAAAAACAAAGGTAAAAGATTGTGTATTGAGATTGCAGCTTCAGCAGAAGCAAATATTTGCTAGACAGCTAGAGCTGTCTTTAAAGGTTTATAAGTTATTGTTCAAAATATATTTCCTTATGGAGAAAATGAATGGAGTTTTTACTTCCGGAACCCAACTGTTGCACTCTATTAACAATACTTTGCTGTAAAATTGCATGGAATGTACCACTAGATCTATTTTCTAAGTTTATAATAAAAAGATATAGTAGAAAGAGAACTTGCCGTTCACCAATTAACAAGTTTTTACTGTTGCAGATAATTAGTATTTTCTTAATGTTAAAATTATGATAATTTTTACAGTGCATGTTCTGAAGTTTAGATGAAGGATTAACAAACACTTACTACAGTGTTTAGATCGGGCAGGTTTGATCAGCTGACAGGTTAAACATCTGACTCCCTGCTGGAACAGTTTTTCATCATACTGGTAGATCTTCAGTTGTGTAGTATGGTTTGCCTTTGTCAGTGTGCCTTCAAATAAAAAGTCAAACTGAATGGATTAGATTTTTTTTTATTCATGAAAATGAGACAAGTCTTCATTTGCTTACCAGGGTCTCTGCTACAACACAGGTAGAACAGATAGGACTTCAGAGCGAGGAGGACATAGGGAATGCACAGGCTGATTGAACTTGTGCCCATGTCCAAACAGAAGCCAAATACCTCATAGGAGAATTCTCCATACACAACCACTTCAAGTAACAGGTGCAAGTAAAGGAAGAAGTTGTTCCTGATGTGAAGGAAATAATTGAACATAGGATGTCAGGGAATGTTCAGAGAACACAAATACTGATAAAATAAAGAGTTTGAATACACTGTAAGATACATTGGGAAGTGTCTGCCAAATGCATGGATAAAAAACAACAACAAAAAAAAACAAACAAACATAAAAGCACCACTGCCACAAACTTTACAAGCAGACTAATTTGTTTGGCAGTTTATAAGTAATTTGTATATTATATTATACAGGCAACTTAATATGTTTAGCACACACTCTGTTCAAAAGTTTGGGGACAGTACGATTTTTATGAAAGAAATTAATACTTTTATTTAGCAAGGATGCATTAAATTGATCAAAAGTGACACTGAAGACTGGAGTAATGATGCTGAAAATTCAGCTTTGCATTACAGAAATAAATTACATTTTAAAACATAATAAAATAAACAACAGATCTTTTAAGTTGATAGTGTACATATGCTTACAAAATGATCTTGTTTCGACTGCATTTTGTTTTTGAGATTGTCTGTCAGTTTTTAATATACAGTATAAAAAGGTTGTAGAAAGCATGTCTGGGGTGACCTGTTCAAACTTATGTTACCTCTGATGGAACAGTCTGTGCATAGTCCTGTAGCAAATATTTTGGAGACATTGTGGGATCAATTGAGAGACAACCTAAAAGAAAAAAACAGTTTATAAATCACATCTTAAACAACTGCAAAAATCATTCAGTTTGCAGGACTTCTCCTAGACTCTTACCCCAGTGAATGTGTCCAAAAGTCGACCGAGAGGAGTTTGCTGATGTCCTGAATACTTGCAAACCAGAGCAATGCAGGTGAGCACTACAGCCACATATATACCAAACAGAGTGAGGAAGTCCATTTGCCACTACCTAAGCAGCACAGGACTGTGAGTGAGTAACTGACTTCACTTATTACAGATGCTTATGTTTGTATATGACGAGATCATCAAAGCGCTTAAATCAAAACTTACGAATGTAATCGTATGTATGGCCGAACCACAACTCATCAATAAAACCATATTCAACAGTGTTTAAAAGTTTATTTGTATACAATACTGGACACACAGGTCTAGCACTGGCAGTGTATACAAAGAGAGGCACGCGAAGGAAAGTTTTACCTTTTATTCATCTGAGCACCATCCTCCTCACACCTTTACTTCCGTACAGACCGTGTGTGAAGTAACAGTAGTACAGTGTTGCCAGATTTCAAAATAAAAAACACTGGCCTGTCAAAACACACCCATCTCCTCCCCAAATAATCTATTTATAAATATGATTTTACATTTAAAAATGAAATAAAACGCATTACACTTTTGTATTCTGGCAATAAATAAAACAACAACCCGCGACTATATATAAGCGACTTTTTCGGGGGGAAAACAATAATACCAAAGCGGACATGGCAACACGATACGGAACTAACAGACACGACAACTGCGTTGTCAAAGTAAAGGTCGTCCCATGCTTTTTTTTATTGATTTTTTTTCAGGCTCGCTTTTTTGAAGTTGTTTAGTTTATCTAGATACAGTCGAAATCGTCTCTCTCAAAATGCGTTTAAATATTTTAAATATTTGTTATAAATGATTTAGCCGCGCACGTTATTATTATTATTATTATTATTAAATCATGTGCCCTCGTAATCTTTAATCAAAATAGCATCCATTTTTATCTCTCTGATGACGTGTTAACTGTCTATGGTTAACTGGGGTGAGGGCGGGACAACCTGTCACTCACATCAAAGCACTGGTAAACAACGACCCAACGTTCAATCCCCGATTGTTAACTGGACTTATAGTAGGAAAAAAAATACTAGTCCAGTTAACTGTTTGGTTACTGACATTCTTCAAAATATCTTCCTTTGTGTTCAGAAGAAGAAAGAAATACAGGTTTGAAACAACTGATGACAGAATTTTCATTTTGAAGTGAAAGTTCGCCTAAAAAAAATTCGATAGACCGCGGCCCACTAGGGCCTAGGGGGCCTCAGTGATCCTCCAGGGAGATAAAATAATTTAAATATATTAAAATAATTTATTCATTGTATTATTAATACGTCGAATAAAATATGAATTAAACTAATTAAAAAGAAAAAATTAAAACAAAGCACCGCCTCTCTCGTTCTGTGATTGTTTCGGAGCAGCCCAAGCCTTTTCTCATCGCGCTGTGTGAAATTGCACGGAGTCAATACAGACTGAACGGCGTGTGAACACTGAAAACCAGTGTCACTACTAAAGCTTTAATGGATGACGATTTTAATCAAGGTAAATACGATTACAGTGACATAAGTTACAGGAGTAGTATATTATGCACGGGCGAGTCCGTTATTACTGATGTGTAAACATTAACAAACCGTGAATGTGGCTCTCGGCTCGAACACAGTTCAATATATTTGCGTAGTTGTCAAAATGAATGTACTGTGGGTGTTTTATAACGGATGCTCGCTGAAGAAACATGTTTTAGGGATATTTGTGAGGATCAGTGAGTTGTTTATGTAACGTTACACATGAACTTCAGACGCAGTTCAAATAGACACGATTGCTTGTTTTGACAGAGGAACTGTTCACTGATGACATCGACCCGCCTTCAGATCGCTGAGTTTCCACAATCCACACATTCATTTTTTTTTTCATTTGTATTTTGGTGTGTTTAATAATTCAGAATTTAATCTGTATAGCTATCATTTATACAGCTATATTCAGTCATTTGGCATCTCCCTGTGGTCTTGTTTGGTATTGCAGGTTTGCTTGTGCTTACTTGTTCAAGTTACTGTGTAACTGAGCACCACTGAGTTCTTTTAAGTTCTAAAGAATGTCTGCAAAGTATGTTTGCAAAAAAGATAATTTCTTAAGGGGCCTTGGAGTAAAAAAGGTTTGGAGACAAAACAGTCTGTCCATTTGTTTTATTGGTATGTTTGGAACCACTGCTCTATATGCCTATGTCACACTCACAACAAGTAGGAGAGAAAAGACTCTCCACTTACATTTCATATTTGGATAATGATAACTGAGTGAGTACTATCATTCATCAGATGGCATACAACTTTGCTCTGCTAACATACCTACATTCTGATTACAGTCTTTAATTATTCTTCTGAACTTCAGCTTTCACTTGAACTTCACTTTGCTTATTTTGCAAATGTATTCTTTTAAAACATTAAATCCTTTTAAATTGTATAATTTGTCTCAGAAGCAGATAGTTAATAAGTGTAGGCCTACTTGTTTTCAGTTCAGGGTTGCCATAGCCTTCTAACTGTTTCCTCTTACAGTTATCATGTTACAGACCTGCACATTCACTAGAGGTGATGCCTCCAAAGAAAGGGATACCACCAAAGCCCTTCTAGAATACTCCACCGAAGCAAAGGCAGCTGGTTTTTTCTTTTAAGGTATGCATGTATTTGTAAATCGATGTGTTAACAATATTTTTATGAATATGAAGAATTAATATGTGTTTTGAAAGTGACTAAAAATACTTGGTTGTCAGACCACAACATATAAGTTCAAATAAATTATAGAAGTTAAATGTGAGCTAACAAATAATTGAAGGCTGGAGAATGGTTTTGGATATTTATTTGGTTTTGGAATTTTTGGATATTTCAGTTACCACTATTTTTTAATGTCTATGGATTTTAATGTAAAAACCAAGTTAATTCTGTTTAATTTATTATGTCTAATTTATTTCTGCAGTTATAATAACAGAGCCATTTGACATTTTAAAATAATGAAGAGAGTCTTTTCTGTCAGTGCAAGATGAAATATTTTCCTTTTATTGGAATAAAATGATTTTTTTTTTTTTTTTTGATATACACAACCACTTTTCTGTTGTATTGGTAAGTTGAGATGTTGATTGAGGAACAGTGTGTTTGGAGATACAAGCATTGGCACTAAATAATTCAGTTATCCCTGCATAACTGGTCTTTGCATCAGTCCTACATAATACGTCTATTACATTTTACTGCTAGTTATACTGCTTCCTCATTCAGATTGTAACCTTGAAAGTGAAACCGTAGAACAGGCCAGTACTCAAAAAACAGTCTGGAAGACATCGTTTGCACCTGAGCTGCATGTCAGCTCACTCAGTAAATCAATTTTTTCCTCCTGAATCCCCCTCGGATGCATGACAGCATGTGTCCCTGCCATGTGGCACGCGAGATCTCGAGATGCAGCATTTAATCTGTCTAATCCAGAACAAGGGCTTTAATAGCACTGCTCCTGTTCAAAGATGTGTGACTGGGCGTGAGTTCAGACGTTCTAATTATCCACCATCGTCCTGCCGGATCCCCAAGCTGCTACTGGGCTACTTTTTGTCCCTTGGAGAGACAGCTAGAAGAGAGAGTATGGGAAGGAGGTATTTATAGAGAAATGGGGCCTCACTTTACCCTTTTTGGAGAGAGAATCATTAAGGATCTGTGCTAGGTGTCCCAGTTTCTTGATTTGAGCTCTGCAGGCAGGACTAGGAAGACTCGGCAGAGATGCAGCGTCAACTCATAGACAGGATCACTCTGGCGCTCGATGCAGTGTCACCCGTTTTTTAAGTGCCATTGCTCTGCATGGCACACGACGATGGGGGGCATTCGCAAGGCGTTTCCCCTGAAGCGTGGTGCGGTTCAGTAGGAGGATCTCGGTGACAGCGTAGAAGACGTGGACCCAGCGTTTCACCCTTAGAATTTTTGATACCTGTTGAATTACGACAAAATGAAGAAATTCCTCCAGAATAAGAAAGGGAGATACTCCTTAAGGCAGAACAAGCCGGGTCCTCGCATTCCGCCCAAAGATGTTTGTAGTAAGTGTTTAGTGTTCAAGAAATATTGTATTAGTAGTATAATGTTGTATTATTACTAACATGACTTTCTTTCAGCAGCACATTTAAAGTCAATTTACAAGTAGGCTAATGCTTTGATGAGTGACCTTCTATCAATCTACAGGCCTAGGCTTTGCATGGACTGACCCATAAACACAATATTTTACCAGCCAATTTAATTATGAATGTTGATAGTGGGGTTATTTGAATGTCTTTTTGTGTTCTGGTTTCACTAGTGAGTACTTGCTATGCAATGAACGTGAGTTTCATGTTGCTGATGCGGTGTTCAGGCAAATCTGTCTTCCAATATCAGATGATTTGGGAGCCTCTGTTCTTTTTCAATGAGGTCAATGTTACTGGGAGGTCTAATGTATCAGCTGAGACTGTATTTAGTGAAGGTTACGTGGTCCTCTTTATGTAGGCCTGCATTACTTTGTCTTGTCAGGGTAGGCAGAAATTCACATATCTTGACACATTTTAGCATCCAGGTGTATATATTTTAGGTGCTTGACTTATTTTAGTGTCAGGATATTAAGCATGTGTCTGCAGTGCAAATTTCCATTTTTCTCAGGAGACTTGATCATTCTGGTGTGGATAAGCAGGTCCTGGCTGATGGACATTTGGACCCAAGTTTACTGTTAGAGAGCACATATCCTCTTACTTGCCATCTTTTTCACAGTCCTCACCATGCCAGCATCCAACCAGAGCTGGCCACATGAGTTTGGCTTTCAGATAGGGGGGAACGGGCCCAGCTACATCCTGACTGTGGAAGATGGAAGCAGTGCTCACCTGTCTGGACTGCAACCTGGAGACCAGGTCTTGGAGATTGAGGGGCAGAATGTTTCTAGTCTCAGCGCTCAAGAGGTTATTGCCCTTGCCCAGTCACAACGAAACATCCCGCCCAGTATCGGAGTGGTTTCACGCATCCAACAGGTGGGTCAATAACATGATGCTCATTTTTTGTCAGAATGTATTAATTTGCAGAGTTTCTAGTCTATTTACACCAAGTGCAAATAGACCACCTTGTTGGCACAGGCTATTTACACTTTGATTGAGCAAGACAAAATTACAAAAGAAATCCTGTTGATAACAGGATCAGTGGCATGGAGAGCATAAGGCAAGTGGCATTAGCTTTTAACACGAGTTCGAATCCGCCATTTTCCAAACTCATTCTTCTCGCATATCAGCTTGGAAAGGGTTTTATTTTAAATAAAAATTTAGAAAATATTCAAAAATTGTGCCTAACGGTATTTAATAGTGGCAATAAAGTGTTTATTGGGTAGGTGTAAAAGAAGGCTTTAGGGATAGGGACAAGTAATGTCCCAATAAGGCAGCTATTTATGAT